AAATGGATGGGACATCAACCCATATGGGTTGTCCTTTTCTGAGGCTGCCAGTTGCTTGAAAGGGGAGAAAAGGGTGACTTCTATAACTCATTTTCGTTTTAGTTTCTTTTATTTGGGAATCCTCTTCCGGTTCATGCCCAACACCCGGACTGGGTCGTTCCCTACCCATCGCACCACCCATTCTTGTGGGGTGCAACTTTTCTCTGAACGAGCAATTCACTCGCGAAGTGCGGTCAAAATTGAGGCCTTGCTGGAATACGATTGTTCCATGCGAGGAGATTCGTTATTGAAGTGGGGGTGGGGGGTGGGGCGCTCGCCGCACAATCCCCCGTACTTGCCAGGGGCCGGGAATTTATGGGTAAGCCCAAGCAAACATAAAATAATTATTCACTGCCAAGGGCGCTTGCCATAACTCACTCTTGGATGCAACTATGTGATGTAAGTCGTGTGACAAAGCCATGGCTAACCCTCTACTGCAGTAACGTATCATATCAAGGAGTTAGTGGTTGTTGGTCGTTTGCGAGCAACCCTGGCTTCTGGAACGAGCTGCTCATATCTTCAAATCTGTCTTTGATCAAGCGGCAAGCACCGCGCGCACATGACATATGTTTCCTTGACCAACCTATTCACGGGGGTGTTCCTGCAAGGGAGGACCTAAAGATACATTGGCACCTTTGGAACATACTGACACCAACAAAACAAAATTGTAAATCAGAACGCGTCTAAGCACAATAAAACTGTTGGGAGTGAGTAACCAACAGGATTTCCGGGCTGTTTTCCCCGTGTCAACATTATTCGACCCCCCGACATGGTGCGTGTTCTAAGCTAGCCTTAAAAGCGGTAGAGGTATGTTTCTTTCCTCGGGCCGCACCTCCTGAGCGGACTGGCCAAACAAGGTCCAAAAACCCCAAAAAGTTCAAAGTCCTGGAACGCAGGAAGTGAGAACAGGGGTACAGGTGTGTGTGTGTGTGTGTGTCTGTTTTTTCTTGTTTTTTTTTCTGGAGCTGGTGTTTGCCAGCTCAAAAAGCCCAGGCCTCCGGCTAGAGGCGCCTAGCGCGCCTGGACTGGCTAGACTGCTTGCTCCTCGTCTTTTCTAAAGTGGCTCATGGAACCCTAAAGCACATGAGCCAGCGGCAAAACATAAGACTACTTTAGGCGATTTCGAGGAACAAGTTATCGTTTTCGGGGCTTTGCTATATCGTTCCTGAGGGAAAAAGCCAAACAAGCAACGCGAAATCGCCGAAGACATATTCTATGACGAGAGACTTGAGCATTTCTCTCACATGCATGTCTTGTGCTTTGAGGGTGCCCCTCCCCTTTTTTAATGCGGGTTTTTCAGAAACAAAAGGGAAACCAGAAGGAAAGCCACCATTCTGGGTGTGTGTGTGTGTGTGTCAAAATACACAACCACTGTGTATTTGGATGGGTAGTCATGGGAACCCAAAAGGAAAGGCCAATCGAGAGGGGTCCGGACTTGTAAAGTGCCTTTGTGGATGCTCCACGAACCATGCCGCGCTGAGAGGTTCGAACTGCAAACATAGCGCATCAAGCGTGGTAGTCCTGCTACGTGCAAGGAGACTTTTTGAGCAGCAACCGGCCCCTTGAATGGAAGATCCCCACGAAAATGTTGGATAGCGAATAAACAAAGGGGAGGCAATTCAAAAAAGTTTTTTCCAAAATGATTCCCCACCCTGCAAAGGAAAAGGGGGAGGACATTGAAAAAAAAAAACAATTCCCACGCCTGGCAATAGTAAGCACTACGAATCAATACCAAACCAATAATTCGCCTCGGCCCCCTGACCGGGAAGCGGTCAGACCCGTTCAGAACCTCTTCAGGATCGTCCAACAAAGCGGTCGGCCCCCAGGGCCGGGAAGCGGTCAGTGTGCGCCCCCCCCCCCCAGATCATACTTGCATTATCAGTCAGCTCACACGCAAACCGATACGCCCCTTTTGCAAGTGCTTCAGGCTTCAGCTAGCCGACCATGGACCACCTGAACCGCAACAAGAAGGACAAACACTGGAAGTAGGGCGGAAGGCCGCTTCAGCTTCTACTCATGGAATCTTGAACATCATCCCTTCCTGGGACACCAAAGTGTGGCGTCCCTGGGCAAAAAAGCAGAATTGGCCCTACGAAGTTCTTTCCATGACCCGTTCAAACGGGACTTTGAAGGGGCCGCACAGAAAACAGGATCAGCGCACTCTGGATGCCCGGGTGACCACTGGACTCAATGACCAGTGTTTTTGGATCGCCTCACTTCGAGCATCTGGACCAAACGGGCCTCCCCGACCAGCAAGGACACACCGGGGGCCGGCCTGGCGGGCTCGGGCAACGCTTTTCCGCAGCTCGCCTTACGATTCTCGAAACATACCTGCCGCCTGATCCGGAACCTTCTCCTTGTGGGTGATTGAGGAACAAGCCTGCTGACTCTCCCCAATCCCTGGACACAACGGGCCCCGGGTAAGGGAGTTCGTCCCGCGTGGCCAGACCTTTGAAGCATATGCCAATAAATTGATCCGACTGCCTGCAGTATGGGTGAATCTTCCAATAGAGAACCGCCTAAAATGGCATGCTCCCGTTTGATTTCCCCTTCAAACAACCATCCAACGCAGGGGTTTATCATCTTTGGCCGAATGCACAAGTGTGTCGAACGCGCTCACAGAAAGCCACTACATATGGGCCAAGGTCAAGACTGAACCTCTGTGGCTCCTTAATGTTGACCCAGGATTAATAAACCCGTCCCATGAGTAGGGGGTGTTGTGATGAATCCCCACTAAAAGGGGACACCCCCCTATTAATCAACCAGGGGTTTATTAATCCGGGGTACACAATAGTTCCCTTATCCCTTACTCTGGTTGTCTATCAAGGGATCCATTTCCCTCCCTAAGTCGCATCCGGACTTGATATCTGCTGCAGGCACCATGGAATGTGCTGCCATGATGGATTCCTCGTTTCGGAAAGACCCCTGCACGAGCATGCCCACGAGTGTACTGCGTGCTGATGGGAAATTCATAAGGCTAAGGACCCCTTTTAGATGGCTGCTTTGAAGAAAACCAACAGATACCATTCAGCTTCACGTTCATCCTAGGGTGAGTTCCGACGTAGACTCACCCACAATGTCTGCACTGCATCTCGCCAAACAAAACAATTTTAAGCGTCCCATTCCTCTGAACCCCTACATCGCCCTGCCATGCAGTTAAAACCTTGCACGGCCTCTTTTCCAAAGCCTTGCGCATCCTGTGCCTTTGGTCGACTGTCATCAAATTGTGTTTTATCAATTTTTGGCTCTAAGGGCAAAGGCAAAAGGCCTTTGAGGAACCAACCATCTCCCAAGCTGTCAAAAGTATGTCCTTTTTCAAGGGTACCCTTTTTCTGTGGGGTTTAAGGGACACCACAGGAACAAGCTCATTTTTAGGGGGTGCCCTAAAAAGCGCCGCACCCATTTCCCACGTTGTCAAGAGTCTGGACCCGTGTGGTACCTACTTTGGACCCCCTTGTTGGCCATGTGGCCAGGGGTCAAAAGCCAAATCGTACCCCCAGTGAACATCCCAATCCCCACTAAAATAGGTTCTAAATCGGGTGGTGCACCCAAAATGGGATCCCATTGGTTTTGACCCACAGCCATGTCAAAAGTCACCGGTTGCAAAGGACCGATCTGAGGGAACCCCCCAGCATCCCGCCTCTCTTGACACTCCCACGGAGGGCTGCACCTTGCCGGCAGCTTGATGTGCCAATGAGCAAGGTTCCCTCCCCGGTGAAACATCTACCCGGTTGCTTTCTGCTCCCCTGCGAAAAGTGAATAACTTTTCGTGGTTTAATACGGAAAACCCATTCGGTGACAAACCGTTACAAAGTCGGCCCCATTTCTGATTTCTCACGCGATTTGGACCCGCAACATGGAGGCTCTGCGGTTGGTTTGCCTTGAAACCAAGGTAAAAGGGTGCGCACACACATCGGTGGATCCACCAAGCTGAAAACTTACAAGTAAAACAAGAGAGTGCGAAACAAGGGGAATGGGTGGACACCAACTTATGTCCATCAATCATGTGTGCCCGAGTTGCAAATTGTTCAACAAACAAATCAATCTTTGAGTGGAGCCATATTCTCATATTGTACCAAATGACAGTTTCCGGGCCCTGAAAAATCAAGCACGCTCATGTGAGCATGTTGTCGAGAATCAATCCCTACCACTCGGTTGCTTTCTGCTCCCCTGCCAAAAGTTTAATCTTTAGCGGTTTAATGGAAAACCCATTAGTTGGCAACAAGTTGTTAAGGTCCTAACATCCAAGCAAGATGCACCAAAGATCAGGATTCTTTGACGAATCTGACCTGATTCTCGCCTGCGGTCCGAGCCAAACTTGGCCCGGCGTCAGCGCCATGAGCCGAAGGAGTGTCAGACTGCGGATGCAGGATGGACTACGAACGATGGGGCTGCGCGACAGAAACAAACTCCTCTAATCTCAAGCCGTGTTGGCCCCAAGGCGTCGATTTTCTCACGACAGCTCTGATGGAAACGCCAATCAGAACGAAACCGCTATGTTTCAAGCCAATATCTGTCTCACGATCAGGCCTTGGTGCTGCAAGCACACGTGAATTCGATCCCGGTTAGACACCTCATAAGTCTGCAATGGCTGAGGCATATATATCGGGCACATCATGGAACAAGGTACGAAACGGATGGCTGCATGTGAAAGTCTTGGCAACTCTTGCCATTTCAGTTTGGCAATAACTGCCATGTGAGAAAGTGTTCGAGTCAGATGTGTGATAAAACATTGAAGCAACAGCTCTTACAGAAAGGGTCCCTGGCAGCCCAAAACACCGCATGTGCAATCGTCATGAGCTGATGCAGAGTCATAGCAAGGAGAGCCATTGCAGCCCAGTGGACATTGGTGACTATTAGGCTCCCTTGATATGGCTGCTAGATAGGGGGGTTGGACAAATCATAAAATCACCTGTCCCCTTTTGGCTTCCTTGTGAGGACAAAACACTCGTTGCTATTTGGCACGCTCGGCGAAGCAATGTAGGCCAAACTGTTCGACTGAACAGTGTGACACGCGCTTGAAAACTATCTGCCCATGCACTTTGTAGGCGTCACAGCGGCCTGGCGGGGTGAGGTTTCTGGCAGCATCAAAACCGAGCCGTGAATTTAGCCAAAACAATATGAGCGCTAAGTAGGAGCTCAGCAAGAATGCCCACGTACCCATTCCCCTCTGGGGCCCTGTTGGGGGAGATGATTCCCTTTGTTATTATTGTCTCATTATCATTATCGCTTCAGCATCATTAATATTTCAGCATTATAACTATTCTTATCGGCGATTCAGTACCCAGCTTACATCGACACCAAATCCTAAATTATGCAGTAATGTCAACATCACAAAAGGCCCCTTTACGTTGTGTTTGTGTGAGTTCATTTCAACCCATGAACTCGCAACCATTAGAAAAGTCCAATCCTTTCAGAGCTCAATGTCTGCAAAACTGGGGACGCCTTGCATATGGCTTTAAAGGAAAACTAAAAGGAATCACCGTTTTGGGGGTCCGAAAGTCTGAGAAACCCAGCAACCCGCATATTTTTGAAACCCGCTAGCACAGGCCTCCCTCTTGTGGCTCTAAAAAGGTTGGCTGGGAACTGTTGCTTCGCTCTCAGGTTGGGGGGAAGGTTGGCCAGACTGGTGGTTGAGTTGGTGGCCGCATCCCCAGCATCACCGGCCTCACTGGGACTAGGGCTGCCTATTGGCTTTGATTTGGTGGCAGTTCAGAGTTGCTGGTTTCGGGTGAGTGTTGGGCTTGCTGAGGTCTTAATGAGGGTTGTTTGGGGTTTTCAGGCTCGGATATCCGGGATGCTGGTCGGTGCGTCTCGTTTTTGCAGTAGCCTTTGGGCTGCTTCGGGCAAATCAGCACACCGAGCGCAAATCAGCTCCAAGCCAAACCCAAACCCAAACTGACTCAAGGTCAACCTTAAGATCTCATCAGCCGCTTGCCGAACCTAAATAAACCCCAAACAAACCCAAGACCCGCCCCCCATTAAGACCTCAGCAAGCCCAACACTCACCCGAAACCAGCCCCGAGCAACTCTGAACTGCCATCAAATCAAAGCCAGTAGGCATGCGGCCGCCCAGCCGACCCAGCCAGCCAACCAGAGCCCCGAGCCGAGAGCCAAAAAAACACCGGTTCCCTTCTCGGACCTCCACCAAAACAGGCAGAATTCTTTACTCGTGACCCTCCCAAACAGCTGGCATGAAATAGTGACATGGGCTGGAGCCGTATGTCAGGCGAGTATACGCCAATCCAATAGGATTGTCTCAGAAGCGCGGCCTCACCAGCACTCGCTTCTTCGCAAAGCGATCCGCATCAGGATCCCACACGTCCTTGGTGATGCAAAGGGGCTCATCAACCCATCAATAACCAAATAGACACCTATCAATACACCAGTTGCATCAGTCAGTTCTTAGAGTCTTAGAGTTCACACACACACAAACACCCTCATACACCAACACAGACATACATTAATGCACGCACGAACCAACATGCAACAAGGCCTTCATCCACGTTGGCACATCTCCCTTTGGAATCCGAGGTATTCACCACTCTCTCTCCCTCTCTGTCACACTAACACACACACACACACACACACACACACACACACACACACACACACACACACACACACACACACACACACACACACACACACACACACACACACACACACACACACACACACACACACACACACACACACACACACACACACACACACACACACACACACACACACACACACACACACACACACACACACACACACACACACACACACACACACACACACACACACACACACACACACACACACACACACACACACACACACACACACACACACACACACACACACACACACACACACACACACACACACACACACACACACACACACACACACACACACACACACACACACACACACACACACACACACACACACACACACACACACACACACACACACACACACGCACTAACTAGGGAAAGCACACAACCACACACAGCCACACACACACACACGCGCGCGCGGGCTCACACTCTCAAGCACGCGTGAGGGGCAATCCACTCTTTGCCAGGCAACCCACCGCAAGGCCTGGATGTCACCATTGAAGGCCTCGGAGATCGGATCTGTGTGGAGCGAAACACAATGTGTGGGTAAACCGGCGCACATCTGGCAACTAATGCTCGGCCACCGGGAATGTTCCGGGAAACATTGTCAGATCATATCAGTGGGATTTCCTTTTTTTTTAAACACCATCCCCATCCATCCCCCAAAAGGGTCCGTAGTTTGACACACATCTCATTGACAAAGAATGACAGTTTGCAACAATCAACTCACGTCCTTGCCCAAAAGCAATTGCCTGTATTCATGATTTCTGGAACATCGCCTCGCAAGGGCAAAAGCAACTGTGGCAAACCTTTCTTACAGAACACTGGCCGGCGCTCCCTGGTGATGCTCTCATTTGGGACCCCTTCTGCTTGTATCTACAGCGCAAGCACTGTAGAAGAAATCATTGTAAAACAAATTGAGGGGCTGAGATTTTCAAATCAAGTTTGTTACAACTTCATTTGCTGCTAAGAAATTGAGCCCCCCCCCCTGGAACCATTTTGCAAAGGCGACCGAGAAGCAAGTAGCCTCAGAGAGTGACCAGCCCAATTCGCGAGTGCCTAGTGACCCTGTTCAGCAAACCTTTCAACTGGGCTGCAGAAAGGGTGATACTGCAAAAGACTTACAAGCGATCACATACTCTCCCCCAAGCACACACACACACACAACGCACAAATGGCAACCGACGGTAGGTCCCACAACTGAGCCATAGTCATTACGTATTCCCTGGTATTCAAATGGTTACCCAACACCACGTAAATAAATTTATAATGTATATTATATATAATATACATGTATATGATTGGGACTATCCCTAGCCTTCATCTACCCCGGTCTTGATTTTGGCTCAGCTGATTCACCTCCAACAAGTGGGCATAAATCTCAGTAGCGGACCCCAGCACCGTTTAGGCGGGGATTCATATCCACCAACCACTTGTGAGGAGCATGATGGACACTTAGGGTCCATTTTGCAACCTGGATTCTTAGGGTTCTTGGCTGCAAAAAAGACTCTAAGTGTCCCTGGCACAGGTACCCCCACCAAGATTCACAATTCAATTCTTCCCCCGAGGGGGTTTGTGGCTCAGAAGCCTTCGGCTCGCCGCGAATCCGAGGCTGGCGCTTGCCAAGGCGGCGCATCCTGGCCTGAGTCCGGACCGCGCGCGATCGCAAAAAGTCCCAGTGCAATCGCATCAATCAGCTCCTTGCAACCACCATTCTAAATCGACTCCGAAATTAGGCGTGCAGGAAGCCAACTGGGCTCAACCAAATCCATTTCCATGTGGCCCAAACCTGTCTGGAACAAAACAAACAACTCCTGCGAAGATGTTTAAATGCAACCGAAGATTGCCAGGCGTAGACAATCCCCATGTTGAAAAGGCCTAAGTTGCTCGGGGAAAACTACTTGCTTCTGCGATTCAACTCGATACGCCTGGCCATCTGAATAAAAGTATGTTGGTGAAGAGAGATTTCCCCGTTGTCTGACTTATCCATGAAAACAGCCACGTGCTGAACAAAATGGCTGTGGGTGAAAACTCCGGTACTCCAAACCCTACCCCCCAGAATCGCAGTTGAAATGGACCAAACGAAAGGGGGTTGTCCAAAAAAAGACATCTGGGTCAAACAAGTTGCCACAGTAATGGACCCCCTTGCCACCCAAGGGCCATCATCACCCTCGATGGAACCGCTCGCATCCCATAGGCCCGTCGGCAGATCCATATAAGTCACTTGCTCAACACCCGGTATTGAAAGTCTACCCAGAACCAGGTAAAGGATTAAGAAGGCGGAATCCCGCACCTATTTCTGGCTGGGACTGCCCCTTACTAACCTTCAGCTACCCGGGTTTTGATTGTGGCTCATATGTTAGCCCGCCCCCTCAAAAAAAAAGCGAGCACCAGAACCGAGTGGAAACCACCAGTAAACCCTGCCGGCCGAAAAAACCTGTGGGCATGCTGGGAACCAAAGGAAAGCAAGTGGTCTCAGTTCTCGACTGCCATCCACAAAGGCGGTGCAAGCTCCTGCCGAACTCGCCGGAAGTCAGAGACAGAAGCATTTCGGCTGGCGGCCCTATCCATTCGGTTTCCCTTGGGTTTCCCTTTGCCCAAAGGCCCAAAATGGCTTCAAGAAATCACATGCGGTGATCGAATTATAGTGACTGACTCGTAACGGCACGCGTCTTTTACTGGGGATTCATGTCGACCAACAACTTTTTCAGGGGTTCTCGATTGAAATCGCAGAGCCTTTGTCAGAGCCAGTTTGAACTGGGGAGACGCGGCGGATTCTTTTGTTCCTAGGTTCGGCGCCGAAAAGCACCCACCGACTGACCGACCGACCGAGCGACCGACTGCAGATCCTTCCACGACCTAGCCCGCTAAACCTAGGAACAAAAACAACTCGGAGCCCGGAAAGACGCTGGGGTCCACAGATTGAGCTTGGCCGAGACGCTTGGACCCGCTTGGGCGGCGCAAAAGAAACCAAAAGGAAACAACCCCTTCTGCCGGCAAAGCCTGTGGAAACCTCCAGCTAGCGTTGACCCCGCCAACTGCTCGCGAAACCAATGCAACGAACTTCCGAGCTGGCCTCTCTCTGAGAGCTGATGTGCGATTTTCCAGTCGCACCACATGCGGCTCCAAAACAAGTGGTAGCCTCGGCAATGCGGACTTCCTGCAAAACCCAGCGACTAAGACCTGTGATGCGTCTACCTGCAGGTGCAATCAGACTAAGGGTGAAGGGAATCACGTCTCCTGAACTCTGCATGTGCTATCAGCTTTGATGCCTTGCGTCAAACGCTTAAATTCTGTGCCAAAGGCCGGTGCGAGTGGCTGCGGAACAAATAAGGCGCCTGCCTCGAGCGTGGACATAGGAAGGTGAAGCCTCAGGCTAGCATGAAAGCTTGTTGAGGGTGCCCAGCTCGGGGATGGTGCGTGCATATTACGTGCATATTGCGCTGAACAATGATGAAACCTCGCCACCTTCAGAAACATCCCATAACATTCCAGCAAAAGAATCCTGTGCCAGATTCAAAGGGCATTAGCAATCCTGCAGCAACCTCCCAGAGTTGTCAAGCTGCAGTGTGGCCTCAGCCCAACTGCAGATGGGCGTGCGGCGTGCGATGCGACTTGGTCTATGTGGCTAGGATAAGGACTCTGTGGGTGCTTCTGGATCTGAGGCTTATGCACGATTTCCACTGAACTGAGCAGGCAGCTCTGTGTCATGTCAATTCACATGGACTGGAACATCCTCCAAAGCCATTCGGTGAGTGGGTTTGTCTTCCATCTGCTTTTTCGCACCCTGGAAAAGACAATAAAATATCTCCAGTAGTGAAATCGTTTCCCTTTAAAATCAACAAGGGAAATTACAGTAACATATTATGTCCAGCAGTGAAATCGATTCCCTCGAAAGCCAACAAGGGAATGTCGGCACATTTTCATTTGGCTGTGGGTCAAAACCAATGGTACCATGTTGGGGTAGGTGAATTTCACCACCCATGTTAGAACCTATATATTTTAGTGGGGATTTTTTGATGTTCACTGGGGGGCCAACCGAATTGGAGTTTGACCCATGGCCATTTCAGCGCATGGCAGTCGCTTTCCCCGTCGACGGCTTCAAGGGCAGGGCGTTGAAGTCGCGGCTGCGGCGATATGCGCCGCAAAAGGCCAAACCCCGTTGGCTCAGCGGGCCGAAGCCTGGAAGAAGTTGGCCATCCGGCAAAACAAAGGGGAAACCCGTTTCTATATGCCACAACAAGCATCCAATTTAGGGGGGAACCACTTCCGGGGACTTGCCAAACAAGGAACTTGCGATATTTTTCCCACAATGATTGGGCCCTTTTCTCTACCGTGGATTGAACTTGCTATTTTCCGCCAACATGGTGGTCCAAAAGAGATGAATTAAAGTCCAGGAAGCCCAGGGAAGTGAGACAAAGGCGGCCATGTTTTGACCACATTTTTTCCCAGGGCCAAGCTGTTGCAACCCGAAGCGCTCGCCTTTTGTTTGGGGGGGGGGGGGGAACGCCGGACGGAGGTCTTCCAAGGGCGAAGGTCATACCGAGTCTGCCACCCCTGGGGAGGTGAAGGGAACTTACCGAAACCTCGGGTTTTGGAGGAAAAGGGGCAGGAAGGCGATGGATCCTGTGGATGGTTGCGAAATCCGCTTCTCGCAGCACATAAGAAACTGGAATGATTCAATTCCCCACGTAAATACCATGCCAAAAAATGGCTCTTCATGGTTTCAAGCTGGTGCGGATTGGATTTCGCAACCATCCACAGCATGTCCATTTCGGTGAAGGTCGCATAGAAGTGCCGTGGACGGAGGGTGGAAACCCTCGTCTTGGCATCGGGTTTCCTTGCGGAGAAAGCGTTCCGCAGCTCATGGATTCGTGCCAGACTTGCCTGCCGGAGCCCGGATTCATAAACGCCTTGACTAGAAGGGGGGTCTCTCTCGGCCGTTTCGTGGTGTCAGTAAAGGCGAACACACGCACATGGCTCCAGGATCCATTGCCATAGTCTTGAATCCTTGCCTCTTGGGCTAACCTGCCTTGCTCAGCTGCGCTAAGCCAGAGGAATCGTGGCAATGGCTCCTGGATCTCCAGGTCTACCACCACCTGCCAGGCAACTCTGCTTCCAGCCAAGCCACGAGGTCAGGAGAAACCAGTAACCAGGGAATTTGGCTGGGCCCATGTCCTTCCGAACTATCAGTTCACCACTATCTTTGATCAGACACACGCAAGGGTGATTTATGTCCAACTGTTCACTCATCCTTGCTTTGTTTGCTTTTGGAGAAAAGCACAGCATGAGCTGCTTCGCAACTCTTTGACAGCGACATTGCCAAGGTCTCTGCCCCACTAGACAGCAAGCGTTAACCGAACCAAGTGCCACAACATGTCGCGTACAAAGCTCTGTCTTAGAACTGTTTCGTGGCAAATCCCGGCGCCTGATCGGGAATGCCCTCGGAATGCCGGAATGCAAACAAGGAGGACATCGGCGTGGCTTTCTTGCTATTGGACACCCCGTAAAAGCCTGGCCATTGCAGCCGCAATGCGCGGAAGTTGAAATAGCCCGCTATTCCGGACAGTTGCATCAGCGATTACCTGCGGCGCTACCAAAGAACAATAGAGGACCCCAAGCAAATACGTAATGCTTTCACCAAGGGCGTTGCATCGCATCCTTTGGAGAGATCCTGAAAGAATGTTCTGGGGTTTTCTTGGAACTGTGTCGGAAACCCAAGCTTGCCATCTCAATCACAGTGCGCCTGGAAGTGGACGCCTCATAGCTTCAGGGTGCTAACTAGGAAGAGCCTTTCAAGAGGATGAAGTTCGTCCAACATTGCGGGCGACGCAACTTCCATATCCCGGCTCCCACCTTTTCCATGAGTCCTAGGTGTCCTCTTAGAACCTCACCCTTTCCAAGGGAAACTCAACAAACAAACAGGCCAAAACGGTGATGCCTAAAAAAGCGACCTGTTTCCTAGCCTCTCCCCTGGTCAATTGTTGGAACAAAAAACAACACACAACCGGCTTGCCACTTTGCAAGAGCCTTTTGGGACATGCGTTGGACTGTTTGGCCACCCCGAGTGCTCTTTGGTAAAACCTGACTGAACACGTCGAGCTTCTTGCTCAAATTACCAGTCTGTATTCCCTGTGCAATTTGCCAAAGGAGTTGAGTGCCTTGGCCACAAATGAATTTGCAAGCAGTCACCAAATCGACTGTCAAAAATTTGCTCTCTTTTGAGTGAATGCACTGCCCAAAGCCCTCGGAAAATGCTCGCAAACATTGGCCGGGGTGGGGGCACAGCTCGCTTTCATCTTTCATTGGCGAAAATGAGAGAGAGAGAGAGAGAGGGGCTTTAAATATTTCAATTGAGTCCCAGCTTTTAATTGTGAGTGTGCCCGTCTTTCTGGAAACGGCTGACAAGGCTCAGCCACAAGCACAGCGGAACTTTTGCATGCGCAGAAGCAGAATCAACTGCCAACCCTTGTGGATTATCTATGAAGCTGCATCAACGTAAAGTCAACTATTTCATGATACTTCTCCAGCACCATCATCTTGGTAAGGGCCAAGATCTAAGGTCCCAAACGCTGACCCACATCACTCACTGCCTCAGCGGACTGGCAAAAAAAGTCCAAACAACCAAGCTTGCCACTAAAATGGTAACCGAAAAAGTGACTCAAATCCATGAATACTCAGCTAGGTCCTCCAGATTCGAGAGGTTAGAATAAGGGTACTCTTTTCTCTGTAGTCTATTTTCGTAGGTTTGAACCCTCCCCCAAAAAAGAAACCGCAAAAGGGCACTACTGGGGAGCTAGACTAAAATGGTCCAAACCGAAAAAGTGACTAAAATCCATGAATATTCGGGGAGTGCGATGCAGGCGGGAACCCTGCGGTGCCTCCAAGATCTGCGGCCACTGCGGCGGCTGCTTTGCTTGTGCTCGCCCCGCCGCGCGCCGAGAGTCCCAGGAGCCCTGCGGATGGTCTGGGAACCCAACTGGGAGCCAACGCATGTGGTTTGACCAACAAACCCATGGTTTCAGAAATGGCTGTGGCTCAAAAAAGTGGCTTCCCGTGAGGTTGGTTTGATTTGAGCCATGATCAAAACCCGGTAGTAAAATGGTAATCCCAGAACCATGCTTCAAGAATCAAGAAGGAGGGGCGGAATCCCGCAACTATTTCTGGCTGGGACTGCCCCTTACTAACCTTCATCTACCTGGGTTTTGTTTGTGGCTCATGTGGTTTAACCAACAAACCTGGTTTCAGAAATCTCTTCTGATACGCCCGCAAATGGGCTGCAGCTTGATTGGGGAGTAGAATCTCACGCAAATTACCACCGCAATCTTCTGAATTGGGGTGACAGTGGGAGGCCCCAGTTGATTGTCCCAACCTGGATGCTTTAGGACTCGCCCGTGCACATGGACAAGCCAAGTAGAAATTTCCCATCCCTATGGCCACTTTGGCGCTTACGAGGTTCCCAGGAAAAACTCCAATGCGCTCCGATGCGGGGCTTCCTTCTGCTCTGTGAAAGGTTCTTTCACAATGGACTTGTTTGTTTCCAGTGACCGAATGGCGTAGTCTCAGCCTCACTTGTAACCGCCATTAAAAATCAGCCGACCCACAAAAAGTTTGGGCTTTCGGGCCTTTAACGTGCTCTGATGGTCCGCCAGAAAGGAAGTCTTGACAGCCCAAAGGCGCCCATAGCCCACTGGAAAGCTTCTAAAACCTGCTTAGAAGGAGTTCTTAGAAAGCTTCTGAGGGGGCCCGGAGGTCTCTCGTGACCAATAGCTGTCCGGCAGCAAACCTTGCTGCGCGGTTCCCAGCCAATTTCATCTCCCATGCGTTCGAACTTCAACCCCTTGCGGGGAGTGCAACATATTCCCACCCTGAAAGAACGTAACACAGCACATCCTTTTCATGAGAACTCCTCAATATTGACCCACGACTGTTAAATCCCCAGTTCATAAATAGGGTGTGCCCAATTGAGGGGTAATTCTTAACTGTTTGGGCGGGCCGACATTGCTTGGTGCTACAGAGGGGCTCTTGAAAACACAAATCAATTGTCCATCCGCTTCCTGTCGGCATCATCAACATAAATAGGATCTGCAAATACGAGTATCAATGTTCACGTTGTTTTTTTTGGAGCACCTCCCAAACTCCCAACTTCCCTTTGGTTGACGTTCGTCATTTGAAAGCGTTCGCAACCCAACCCCCGGTCGCAGCGGTATGGGTCCATTTCCCCGTTGCCTTGGCGACGTGTCTTGACCGCGCTCCTCAGTGCCGATGCCATGCAGGACATGCATGACTGGGCTGTCCTTAGATCCCGCGCTAAAAGTGAATAACTTTTAGTGGGCTAAATGGAAATCCAACCATTAAACACAAAAAAAAAACAGGCTAAGGAACCGGATCGCTGGACCAAAATGCGTACGTCCACAAATTTTTGTCTGTGGCGGTCAAAATGCATTCGCCCTACGTGCTTTAGGGTTCCAAGTCCTTGTGGAGTTTGTGGCTTTACAGTGTTTTCACACCCCGCCTGTAACCCGCCACTTTTTGATATGCCGACTTCATGGTTGGTGACATCATACATTGCCGACGTCGCCTTCAATGGTTGCGCTGCTGGAGGCTTGTTGCTTCAGCTCTTCAGTCAGGTCGGTGCCGCAATCTGGGCATAATCTGGCTAAGGGGACACGGGTTCTGTTGTCTGTTCCTTACTTCCACCTACTACTGGCTGGCTAACTATTGCTGTTGCCCCAAAGGAGCTCAAAGTAAGAGGTTAACCCTTTTGGGGCGATGCCTAAACATGGGCCAACATAGGAAACCAAAGGTTGTCAAGAGGTCGATTCGCTTTGGACAACTAAGATGGGGCCTGCAACGTGTCCCAACTGATTATCATTCACTTATTGGCCTCGGTTCAAGGCCCTGACATATCCGTACCTTCAGTCAGGAGGCTTTGACTTGCATTGGCCGCCCCCTAGTTGGAACACTCGCAAATCAAGGGGATCCTTGCACACTGTTCTGACCTGAGTGCTGAGTTGACTGGCCGAATAAGCTTGATGTGTTCGGCCCTAGACTAACATGATCATGCAGAAAACTGGCAAACACACATTGCTTCATAAAGCAATTATTGAAGGATGGGCAAATGGTAATTATTGAATTGCCGTGTATGGAGAACGGCACTGGTGTGGCATAAGCAACACTCTGCTTGCCCCCATGGATGAAGGGTGGGTATGGCTTCATGCGCGGACTTAAACTGTCTCCGCAAACGTTGGGGTCTTCTATGTTTGAGACGTGCGGGTGTTTGCTCCTCACGTACAACAATCCTAGCCATTGCCGTGGATGTCTACAATGCGAAGCCTCTTGGCTGTCTAAAAGTGGACGCTAAAAGCATTCGCGTGAGCCCAATGGGGCACATCCACATTGGGTGTGGACTCTGTGGCCTTGTGTTTTCAGGGCATCCCCCAAATTTGGTGATTTTACAGCAAACTCAACTGGTCCTCCAGTAGAGTTGTTAGAATAAGGGTACCAACTTTTTTCTGTAGGTGAGAAAGGGCACTACTTGGGGACCTAGTCAAAGGAAACCCCCGTTGCGCCCCAATTTTGGGGCTCCCATTCCTGGAAAAACTCGACCGCACCGTTGGTTCAGCGACTCTCTCTCGGCGCCCAGACGTTGACTTGGAGCCGGGAGCTCCTGTTCCTGGCGGGACTACGGGAGCCATGGATGACACCCCCGAAAAAACCGGACGGGTCACGTGTTTTGCCTTGTTCTGTTTGTTTGTTTGTTTGATTGTTTGATTGTTTGTTTGTTTGTTTTTTGTTTGTTTCTTTCTTGCTTTCTTTCTTTCTTTCTTTCTTTCAAACAAATATTTTCAAACTCAGCTCGGGGAATCCATCACGGACCTGAACCGATCCGTCCGGAGTGGTCATCTTCTTAGCTCCTTTCTGCACGCTGAGGTCCACCCGGAGTGATGACGCCAATGCTGACTGGTTGAATCTTCGGTTGCTTTCTGCTCCCCTGCTAAAAGTTTAACTTTTAGTGGGTTAATGGAAAACCCATTAGTTGGCGAAAAGTTTTTCAGTCCTGACATCCAAGCAAAATGCACCAAAGAATCTGGAATCGAGCTCACCCTCTGAATGCGGGTGCTGGACGAACCCTTCGAATGGCAAACATGGGCCCGAAACTCCTCGCCTCCGGCGTCCACGTGAGGGTCTCGGGACCTGACGCGAAGCTTTGGGTGGGGTGGGCGTTCCCACCTTGCATCTTCTCAAGGTTCTTGGAGGAAAGACATATTTCCATGATAAATTCTCTTCAAAACCAACAGGGGAAACAACTATTCTTAAGCAAATGAAACCCACAGAATCCATGCCAAATATACTCGAACAGAACGGGCTCAGGAGGAAAATATGACATCATGGATTGTGTGGGATGGGGGTCCCGGGATGCGGGGTTGCAGGCGACAGAGTGAGATGCCGAGGTGTGTGATGTGCGGGTCCGAGGAGTTCTACTTCTGAACCAAACGCGTCTGAAACATCACTAGGTCCTCCAGAAGAGAGGTTAGAATAAGGGTACTTTTTTTTCTTCTTCTTTTCTTCTGTAACTATTTTAGTAGGGGAACCCTCCCAAAAAAGGGGGTGAGAAAGGGCACCTAGCTGGGGGACCTAGATCAAAGAATGAACTCCTCTCAAAGTGGCTCGCCTGTGAGGCAAGGCTGGCACACGCTTTGTAAAAGCTCCAGCTGGCCACTACATTCAGTCAAGGCAGAACCCGAGTCATCCAGATTTGCATACCTTGATGTTTACAAATCCCTCTTCTGTACATAAACCATTCCAAAGTGACAGGTAGCGCAATTGCTGCATGACAACCCCACAGGATACTGCTCAGGCCAAGTGATCTTTCCAAGATGAATGCTGAATTTTGAGACAGTCCCAAATCTCACGTCCACAAAGGGAATTCGTCGAAGAAATCGCGCGAGAATCCTGCAAGACTGAAAACGACCAGCAAGTGCTTGTGAATTCAATGCATGGACAGTCAAATCATTGTTCAGCAGGCCGCTTGCCAGTTCTTGGCCACAGGGGCCAGGTCCACAGGAGTTTCACACCAAACCAATGCTTAGCTGGTGTGGACCCTTCGGGGAAAAAGGGGATCCTCGCGAGCTCTTTGAGACATATGATGGTGTGTCTTAACATAGGGGAGCTGCACAATGGACTTCGGTTCAACTGTTGGTTTCCCTTTAATCCTTGAAACCTGAGAAGTATTCAAAAAGAACCCCCCCCCTTATTCTTAAGTTGATTTCTCTTAGGCCCCTCACTGCAACGCTGATCCCAGCCAACTCTTGCCCACCCCCCAAAACCTCCCATGGCTCAGCGGGCTTTTTTCAGGAGCCGGGGTGAAAAAAATGGGCTCAGGGCCAATCGCTGGCCTTTTTCCCCCCCGAATCCGTGAGAAACCTGCCCAAGGTGTTTCTCCAAATGGCTGTGAGTCAAAAATAGGTACTCAAGATGGAACCCTGGTAAATTCGGAAACATGGACCAACATCTGCGGTCCCCTGGCCCCCTGGTGGTTTAATTTTGACCCATGCCCAAATTGTGATCCATTTCCCACAATGGCAGAGGTGTCCTTTGGGTGCCTCCTTTTAGCGTCTCAGCGTTTAGAGGACAAGGATCCCCTATTTTCTCACGAAACCTTGGGGGCCCCAAAAGGAACCAACCCTCCCATTCACACACATTGGAAGCTGACTGAGGGGTCTTGCAAGACTAGGTGCAATATAGGAGGGACACATTCTCCGTGGCTTCCCTCCAATGCCTTCCGCCACTTCTCCGCAGCATCGCTGGAGCCGCTCGTAGCACCGGCGCAGCCTTCCCGTCAGCCCGCGTCTTTGTAAGGCCAGCAATTCTCAGAGATGCTGCAATCATAGGTGCCCTTTTGGGAAAATAGATGGGCCTGGCAGAATATGAAACGACTGGTTATCTATTGTCGACCACAACCAAAAAGACACCTATTGCTGCAAGGCTTAGTCAAACCAAAGAGAAAGTATGCTCGCACCAGAAAATCCCTGCGATGTTCTGCCGGTTTCTGCTCATGTTCGAAACCACACTTGCATGTGGTGTTTCCACTCAACATCCAAAACACGCATAAATAGCCTGCTTAGTGTCCCAAAAAGCGACCAAGCGAAGGTCCAGGTATACGTATGCGTACACACATCATGAAATGGTTACTCCTCATTGGTACTATATCTCTGCGGAAATTCAGAGACCGCTTTGTCAATTAGGGGAGGTTCGGTCCCCTGCGAATAAGCTGGATATCTGTTGATTGTTTAGCAACTCGTGCATGTTCATGCCATGTCCTACCCATTGATGTGGTTCATCTTGGATTGCGCTGCGCATGCTGTGCTTAAGTCACGCGCCAACTGCAAACATTTGTCTTTGCTTCCTCCCCCGCAGACTGACATAGAACTCCCCCAAAACGATCGTCCTCAAAGCAATCTCCACTTTTGCGAACACCTTATTAAGTTATTCCGTGTTGACCTGCAGGGCAGTTCCCTTAGTGATGGACATTGAACTCATCAGAAGATAACACAAGCGCTCCCTTTGGTATACCTTCTTACAGGCCCGGCAGCACGGGGTTCCATTTGTTGACCACCAAGACTTAAGTCCAGGGCTTTATCGGTTGATCAACTCCCAGGTTTCGTGAAAAACAAATGGAACCCTGTTGCCTGGGCCAGGCAAGTCACTGGGGCCTGACTGCGCGCTTTAGTGTCCAGGTTGCGGGGGAGGGGGCCAACGAGGAAAAAGGGAGTCGGAAGGAGAACTCCAGTGCAGATTCAAGGGGGTTTCAGGGAATATTTATCTTCAGAGCCTCAGCATGATACTGTGAGTTCTTTGTGAACCTGGAACAATGGTCGGGATGGGCGATCCTGATGCTCACGCGGTTGAAGGCAATTGGCATTGCGCTCCGGCCGTAGTTGCCACACTAAATGTAGAGGCCTGCCAATGTGAGCCAAAATCAAAGCCGGGTACTAAAATGGTCGACCAAGGACCATGTAGAGAATTAAGAAGGCGGATATCCGACGTGCGCTTCTCAAATAGGTGCTTGCTGCGAAGGCGCCCATGCTCTTCTTTCGGGGGTCTGCAAAGGTTACCCTCTTTCTACAAGAATGAGATGCCGCTCTCCTTTGGACTGAATCTTGTTGACGGCAGTCTGCTGCAGTGCATATTGGCAACTTCTTAGTGGCGTACAACTGCACATCCCGCGTGCCAAGCTGATTTAGTTGCTTTCAACCCACCGGCAAATGAGAATCCGACCCGGATTGAAACCACCATTTCTTCATACCAGACTCGGCGTTTGCCGGTGACTCCGACTCTGCGCTATCTCGCTGCGCCAGGTGAATGGGGGGGGGAGGGGCACATTTTGCTGGGCTGCCCTCAGATCCCTGCTGAAAGTGTAACTGTTAGCGGGCTAAATTGAAACTACCACTAAACACTAAACGGCTAAAAAGCTAAGGAACCGGATGGCTGGGAGCCACCAAGACATATGGGTCCAAACTAAACCACCAGGATATGGACCGGTTTTAGTCGACTCTACTTACCAGGTTTTTGACCCACGCCACGGGCCGTTGCTGAGACCCGCGCTCCGCGAAGTCCGCCTTGGCGGATTTCGTGGTGTCCGGGTGGTGCTGCCAGGCAGCCTAAGTCGAGTCAGATCCAAACCGATGGGTGCGAAAATGGTCACCGAACCATGGGACCAAGAGGTAAAACGGCGCAAAAACCGCAGCCATTGGTTGGGACTAGCCATAAGTTCCCTTCATCTACCCGGGTTTTGAGCAAGCTCAGTCCTTTTATAGCCATGGTTTGGAGCCGGGTAGGGGAAGGCTTTCCAGCCCACAATGAGGGCGAATCTAAATCCAGTTCCCACCATTTCCCCAATCCGAACCAATTGGAGGGAAGCTGAGAACCAACCCCAAATCCGAGGCAGGCCTTTTTGAATGTCCAAAGGGGATGTCTCATTGTTCTCTTTATTTGCACGACGTGTTTTTTATACACAGATCTTCGTGGGGGTGCTGGCTTTGAGAGGTCCCAAACGGAAAAACAGCCCAGCTTGGAGGGCGCCCTTTCGCTCACTTCCGATCGAGTGGCCGAAACAAGCCCATTTTTTGTGTTTGCCAGCCAAATGGTCCAAAACCCAAAAAATGCCTAAAGTCCATGAACTCAGGGAGTTAAATCAAGTCAAGTTCACCCGAGAACAACAAGTCAGCATGCTTGCATTTGCGGAGGTGTTTTGGGAACTTCCATCCCAAACATAGTTGCTGAGACTTTGGGATTTTTGTGTATTTTTGGAATGTTGGGAATTCTCGAGGATTTTGCGAATCTTGCATTTACTGAGGGTTTATGGAACTTCCGTCTTATAGTTGCTGAGACTTTGGGACATTTGGGTATGTGGTTGTGGGAATTCCAACAAAATCAAGCTTTTTTGGGAATCTTGCATTTATGAATATGTTCTTGGATTTTTGGGAAACTCGACAAACATGAGTTGTGTTTTCTTTTTTCGGGAATCGTGTATGTCCTAACACAGAAATATTAAAATCATACTTTCACCCTTTTTCAAGGACGTGGAAAAGCTCAGCGCTCACAGCGCTGCTTTCAGTGGTAAACTGGGGGTGTGGGGTAGTCCAAAACCTAATTTGGTCATGAAAAGCAATGGTAAACGTCTCTTGTAGTACTTTTGGACACTACTCGCGGAAAGTCAAACTGCTAAATAGGCTGTGAAAAGCGATTAGCCACCAAACAGGCCCACGTGTCGAAACTTGGCCGCTGTGTCATGGTCGTCGCTTAGAAGTGTTCCGTTCGTCTAACGGTCCCTACAAAGAGCTCCATGGCTATCCCATGCTCGACCCTCCCATGCGGCCACAGTGGGCCACTAAAATGGTTGGTTCCTTTGGGGTTTCCCCCGAGAAAGACGTGGGCCCACCATCCACCGGTTTGACCTGTACTATTCTTCCATTTACTTCAGCCTGCTGGAAAAAACATACTTCCAGCAGTGATAGATTCCCTTTAAGATCAACAAGGAAACATTAAAACCATATTCATTTCAGCAACTGGAAGCCCAAAAGTCCAAAGCCAAAGAAGAGTCCAAATAGGCGAATGCAAGCCACCATGCTTCAGCACTATTCTTTCGTCAGACGGTGCCAACAAAAAATCCCCCGCCCGGCCAACCGAACCAAAAGCCGTGGCCCCGGGCGGCCAGGAAGGCCTTCCGCAGATCGGAGCTTTCGCCAAGTCCCAGCAGGCGCCGGCAGCTTCGGCAGTCTGGACGCACAAAACCCGCGGGGGTAGGAAAAGAAGCGCGGAGGTCTGGGAAAAACCCGGGCTCTCAGTTCGCCCTCTGATCCGCTTAAAATGAAAAACTTGTGGGCGAAATGGAAACTACTGTCCTTCTTGGAAAATAGATGGATCTGGATGATGGAACCAGGTAAACCAGAGCCTTCTATTTTCTTAAGCAAACCAACCAAAAAGGACACCTATGCTTGTGAACCTGGGCTCTCCGTTTTCAGATCCGCGAAAAGTTGGAGCTTTTTGTGGGTTAAGTTCGGAAACCACCACTAAACCGCAAGGGGGATGGCTGGCAACCACCAAGTGACGGGTTAGCCAAGTTTGGTGAGCCACGATGTTTTTTGGGCAAGGGATCGAGGTTGATGTCATACTTTTGGAGAACCACCATTGTTCTTGAGAGCTTCCCATCCCGACAAGTCTGGGGGTGCAAGTAGCTTTTCTTGTAGCCGACTGCCACAGCCGCCCGCCGGCAGAACCTATGACAGACAGCTTCGACAGAGCGTGTGATAGACAGATATAACAGGCAGCTGTGACAGAGTTT